ACTTGTGTTCTTGTCTGTTCTGTGTAATATTTCTGCCTCTTTGCTGTCGAGCACTGGGTCTTACTGCTCTCAGAATATCTGCTTACACCTTGCACCCTCCCTTCTAATCTGCCATGTCCTGGGAAAAGAGCAAAGCAAACTTATTAGAACCCCCACTGAAACTGGAATTAAGGGAAACACAGAAAGATTCTAAATAGATGAATTTTGTTAAACATTCCCCCCCACCATCATCTGGTTTTTGATGGTGTTTTGGGTGGCTGGGATCTGGGTAAGTAACATGTTTCCACAGTTAGCGATCCAGGGCACAGCAGGAAGTTACACTGGAAAGAAAACGAACCTGACTACACCGGCTTCAGTACTAACTAGCAGTGTTCACTCATTTGTTTATTCAACAAATACACATTGAACATCTACTAGGCGCCAGGCACTGTCCTAGCTGCTGAGGGCATAGCGATGAACAGATTCTTGTAGGGGAGACAGAAAATAAAAGACACAGACAAGCAAGACAAGGGCAGAGAGTGTGACCTGCTCTGAACACAGCAAATCAGGTGAAGGAGCAGGGAGTGACCTGGGAGGTGGCACTTCATGTGAGAAAGTTGGGCAGCGCTCTCGTGGAAGGCAGTATTTGGATAAAGGTCAGAAATGGGGGAGGGGCATTCTAGGCAGAGGGAGCATCACGTGTGAGGTCCCTAAGGCAGGAATGGGTCGATGCATTCACAGAACAGAGATGCTGGGCAGCTGGAGCAGAGGGAGCAGAGCCCCAGGGAGACTGACAGCAGATGCAGGTGGAGAAGCAAGCAGGAGAGGATCTGGCAGGGCCAAGAAAGGGGTGTGAATGTTATGTTAAACCCCACAGGCTAGGGTGTGACATGACTTGATACATTCTGGAAAGGGGCTGGTAGGTCTGCTGGATTGGATGCAAGAGGTATGAGGGATGAAGGGGGGGGACATCAAGGGACAGGGAGGTATTCATACTGGCTTCTAGGTTTGGGACCAAGCAACAGGGCTTGGCTGATCGTGCTGTTTGCCGAGAAGGGGAATGTTGGGAGACGGGCAGTTTTTGAAAGATCAAGAGTACTGGAGATACCAAGTATAAAGTTGTTGCTTGGGGGAGAGGTCAGGGCTGGAAATGTTATGTAAGCCTTGGGATCAGATGACAGGACCTAGGAAGTGACTGTGCACAGGTAAGGGCTAAGCCTGAGGTAGGAGGTTGGGGAGAGGGGACAGGAGAGGGGACAGAGGAAGAAACAAACCCTAAGAACAGAATGCTCCCAGGAGTGTTCCATGTGCAGAAGGCTGCTTAGGAGAAGGACAAGATGAGGCAGAGAAGTTTGGCCCCTGGATTCAGCAAGATGAAAGTCACTGGCATCCTGACAAGAGAAGTTTGGATGCGGGAGTGTGGACAATTAATTTAATTTCTGTGGGGCTGTTTCCTCTATGAAATGCGGGTAATGGAATATATGATATTTGAGGTCCTGTCCACTACCACACTGTACCACTTTTAAGCTGGAATTAAAAAAAAAAAAAACTCATAAAATGGTCAGAGATAAGAAAAATGATAAAAGAAGCTATGCCATTAGGGAGTTTATCAGTCAAAAAGTTGCGTGGTCGTTAATACTCTTCTACATAAAAACTCCATAAGGTTATTTATGCAAATTTTTAAATAAGCCAAGGAAACTTTAAAATAGAACACTGAGTGGCCAGAATTCTTCGCGGATCCAAATTATATATGCTGTACCATCAACGCAGTACCAAGAGACTCCCAGCTTACTGTCCTGCGAAGACCCTTAAACATTATTTTTAGACACAAGGGAGTGGCCATCTGTCCGGCCGTCTGAGTTCTTAGTCATACTTTGCTCTTTCGCCCACTGTCCTGGATTTTCACGCAAGGTTACTGAGTCCTGAAAAATAACCCCAATCCTTGTTTGGCCAAGGGTACCCTATGTATTTTCCTACTGCTGATTGACGGCTCTGTTGAAGCGAAAGAAGCTAGAGACCGTCGTACTATTTGTGAACTTTTTTTATTGGTTGAGGTAACCTGGCACCAGTGTGGAGACTGGCTCAGGGGTGATCTCACAGGAAGGCTGCCCTCGGGGGACCTGGATGTTCTTGTCCTTGCTGCCATGTCTAAAGCCACCAGGAGAGCCGCCCTAACTCACTTTAGTATAACCTTGGCTGAAGAACTCCAACCAATTTACCAACAGCCTTTCACCGGGTTCACGGGGAGCCATATGGTTTCCCTCCTCTAGCTGAAAAACGGAAATCCTGAAATGAGGAGGGAGGGAGACGTTCAAGGTGACAACTAGGTTAAATGAGAGCAGGGAATGGTATCCAAGACTCCCAGCTCCACGTTTTCTTCCTTCCTTCCATGACATTGATTATCAAACAGGAACAAAACCATGACTTACAAATACAGGGGGATCACTTCACAAAAGGAGCGTGAAGCCTCGAGGCAAGGTAAGTAATATTTGTCAGGATCCTGACCCGCCCTAAGTCAGCTGTTCTCAAATTTTCAAATATATCACTCACCTGGGGACTTGTTAAAGCCATAGATCCCGGGGTTCACCTGAGCCTTACTGGCCTGTGATTCCTAGAGGGGGCTCCTTGAGTGATTCCAACGCACACTGAAGCTTCAGTACCAATGTACTAAGCAGTTCTCATAGATGCCTTGGAATTCAATCTTCTGTGTTGTTGGGGAGCGGGGCAGGAGCAAGGGAGGGGTTTAGGTCCCAAGGTTAGGTGAAAATAAACTACCCCTGGTAAATCCCGTTAAAACACTCATAAGATACAGCACAAATGTTTTCGTAGGGGAAGAAAACCCTGCAGTGTAGCATGTAAGTATAATACTTAGAGTAAGACACATGAGGAATGTGTATGCAAACTGTGTCTCTATACTATTTTAGCTTACACGAGAAAAGTTAAGTCAAAATTAAATGCTCCATCATATGACTCAGTGACACAAGAACACCATGAAATATATATTATGTCCTCTCTACAGATGAAGAGGTGGGAGCTCAGTCACTTTAAGAGACTTGCCCAAAAGGATCGGCATGTCAGTATTGCACTCAGAATTCAGACTTAGCTCTATTTGCTCCCGAAACTTGTGATCTTTTCTTTTCATTAAGCTTTTTGAGATAACTGTAGATTCACATGTTGTGAGAATGCAATCTTTTCATTTTGATCACACTGCCACAGGCCAGTTTAAGCATTCCCCTGAAGGGTAAAGTTCAGAAATGCTCCAGAAGGTCTCGGGCCACTGCTATTTAGTTTAAAAGACAATGTGCTATAAACTGTGTATGATTAAAAAAAAATTAGAGACATACCCTATCAGAAGAGTTGGGGACCAAAAATGGCTAACAAGGCTCTAGGCGGTGATAAGGAGGTAGAGATAGTGTGCTTGGAGTGACATATCCAATCCGAACCATTATCATTGTAGGTTATTTAATATCTTTTCATAGTGTCTTCCTACTGCAGTTACCCTCACATCTCCATTTTAATAAAAAAGAAAGTCTCAGAAGGAACACACTCGTCAGAATACAGGACAAAGGCCTCGGGCCTCACCTGGACCTCTGCAATGCCGTGGACCTGCAGCTGAGAGGATCCAGGTGCCGACCGACAAGGGGTGCCAGGTGCCTACCCCATGAGTGGTCTGTCCCTGTGGCAGCTGAGGCATTACTAGGAGGCCCACGCTATACTAAGCATTTTGCATGCATTATTCCTTTATCTCCTTTAATCCCTACAAGCCCATATAGGTGGTGCTGGAGACACACTGGGAAACTGTCTTATTTGGTGCTTTGCCCAAAGTCACTGGTTACTCTCTGTATCAGGATAGATTTAAGCACTGTTCTAGGTATCTTACATATATTACCTCTAATCCTCAAAATGACCCCGTGAAATAGGTGCCATAATTATGCCATTTTACAGATTTTCACATCTGTGAAACAAACTAGTTAAATAACTCTCTCAAGTAGGGAGTTAGTGGTGAGCCCAGGAAAGGAATTCAGGAGAGGCTCTGGTCTCAAGCATTAGCCTGCTTCACAATCACCTGGAGCGCAGGAAGATACAGACTGCTGGGCCCTGGCCCGAGTTTGATTCCGGGGGCGGTACCTGTGAATTTCCATTTCTGCAAGTTCACAGGTGAGGTCTACGGCAGCTAGTCTGGGAAGCACGCTTTGAGAACCACTGCCCTAGAGTTAGCTGTCTTAATCACTGTGCAACAAATCCTATTGGCCACCGAAGTACATGTGTTTTTGTGTTTTTAAAAAATTCCTCTTGAGAACCATTTGCAAAAATTTAAAATAATTCCCAGAATCTCAGTCTTTGGAGATTTTACCATAGTTTTGAGTTAGTCAAGTCAAACGAGACCACAATGTGTCCTTTAAGCAGAGCGTTCAACCGTGGAGCGTCTTCTATGCTTGTGTCCTCCTCAGCCAAATCCGAAGGCCGGGGCTCCGACCACGTCCGCCGAGACACAGCGGCCGGGGGTTCTGGGAACCCGGCCTCGTCGTGGCTCAAGGACTACAAAATGACCTGACCACCGGGGCAGCCCAACCTTCAAATGGCCCAGCACCCGGGGCACTGTGGCCTCCGGCTCCTCCAGGTTTATTTACACTTTTTATTTCCCTCGGTCCACTGTGGAGCAAACGATCTCCCACCTTACATCTGCTATCAGCAGTTGAACCAAATTCGGCAAAGTTCTCCGCAAGGGCAAGGGGACAGGCGGCGAAGAGGGAAAGGTCTTTGCAACAAGGAGAGGCGGCGGGAGACGCGCCCACCCGGGTCTCCGCGGCCCTCGGCGGACGCCCGGCCGGGTGGGGTAGGGTAGAGTGGGGCTGGGTGGGCGGGGGGCGCCCCGCGGGGTGGGCGTGGCGTGGTGGGGGGGCGCCCCAGGGCGCGGGCAGCTGCCGCAGCCATTTTGCGCGCCGGGAATACCTCGCAGGTCCGGCGGGCGGGGCGGTCAGGGGCGCGGCCCCGGGACCCCGCCCCGCCGAGGACTCTCGGGAGCGCGGGCCGCGGGCGCACTGCACGGACTCACCGACAGCCGGGAGCGCAGCGGTCCTTTGCAGGCGCCGCGGGTGAGCCGGGCGCTCGGCCGGGGTCGGGGGGGGGGTCGGAGGGCCCGGGCCGAGGGGTTCGCGCCCCGAGGGGGACAACGGCTGGGTTTCGACGACAGGTGTGGCTGGGCCGGCCCGGCGGGGGGTTGGGGGGGAGGTCTGCGAGCGAGCCCCGAGCCGGTGGTCCCCAGGAAGAGCCGGGCTCGCCCCGCCGTCGGCCAGATTCGGGGTCCCCGGGTCCCGGGCTGGTGGGGTCCCCGTCCGGCCCTTGGCGCTGAGTTCTCTTTTTCGGCCCAAATCAGTGGCAGGTGACGCTGAACCTACCGGTGTGGCCGCCCCTGCTGCTCCAGACCTTCCCCTTTCGACTCTGCCCCCGGGGGTGCCCCTCCCGAAGTGCTCGCGGAGCCCGGGCTGCGTGGGCGCGCGTCCTGCCGGGCCCCCTCCCGCCTTGCTCGGCCCGTGACCCTCTGGCCCCTCCGGGGCGGGGACCATTTTTTTAAAAGCGTTTCTCAAAGGCTTGACGGTTGCGGTTTCAGCCCTGGGGCAAACGGTTGCTTCACAAAGTGAAACTTGGTGTCTCTGCTGGGCTCCCGGCTGGCTTCCTGGAAGTCCCGGGAGCATCTCGGCGTACCGCCCCGCCCGCTTCCGCGTCCCCGAGCCGGGCCCCGCGCCGCCCCCCGCCGGGTCCCCTCCCCCCGCCCACGTCTCCGCGCGGGCCCCCTCCCCCGCGCGGCCCGGCCCCCTCCCCGCAGGGCCCGCCCGGCCCGCGGTAATTGCAGGTTGGGCGGTGACTCACGCCGGCGCCCGCCCGGCCGGTTCTTAAGCAGCGGCGCGCGGGGCGGGCGCCGAGTGTCGGGCGCGGCGGCTGCAGGAGGCGGCGGGCTGCTGTGCGCTCTGAAGGGCTTTCCTCTGCCTCCAGGTCCGGAGAGCGGTCTCAGCTGCTGCGGCAGAGTCGTGTTTCCAGGGGACTGAGGAAAACCCGTCAGGAACCGAAAATGCCGAAACCAGTAAGTAGCCCGGTGTCGGGGCCGGTGGGGATGCCTCAGGCGTTTTTTTCCAGCGGCGGTACCTGGGCGACGTGTTGCTGGGGCGCTTCTGGGTGGGACGGGGTTCTTCTGTCGACGGCGAGAGGGCAGGAGGGAAGGAATCGGCTCCCCTCTTGGTCACTGGTTGGTCCTTTTGTGGAACTCTGGAAGAAAACGACGACTGAGCTGCTTTTCGATCTACGGTCTTTTTGTTTGTGAGCGTCCGCGTCCCCGCCCCACTAGTTTGTGGTCCTTTGTAAAAGAACAGTTCTGTCTGCTTGAGAAGGTCTTCTAATGCAATTTGGAAGTTTCTTAATAAGAAAAGTTGTCTAAATGACCGGAGAGTCAGGTGGCTTCCGACGACGCCCATCAACTCTTGAGTCCTTCCCGGGTCGGAACCAGATGCGCCCCAAATCTTCTTTTGATGCTTTCAAGGGCCCCCAGCTTAGGAGGCTCCGGCTTTCTGGCGGGCAGCTTCTTTCCAGCCCGTTTTACGCCGGGCCTGTGAAGCTGTGCTCTGTTAACCCGGGAATTTGCTGGCGGCAGCAGGATTCCTATCTCTAAACGAGGCTGAGTCGTGGACTTGAATTGCAGATGGAGGAGGGCTGCCCTGCTCTCTGGTCGTGCGCTCCTGGTCCACATCATAAACATCAGCTGACTCAAGGGCTCGCACCTCTGTCCCCTGCATCTGATTATGGTGCTCTCAGGGTTCGATTGCTGGCCAGGCCTGCGGGGGGGGGGGGACGCTTTCATTTAAGTGGTGGGAACAAGGCAGGTTCTTTGTGACCAGCATTTCTTGGAAAGTTGTATATATTTACCTGCTTTGACACAGGTGAACTGTGACTAGATGTTGGGGAGAGGATTTCACATTTTTTAATTGTTCTGAATCATGATGGAGAAAATACCTGGATTCATTAAAAATTGCAATAAAAGACACATACGGAATTCTAGTTTTTCAAACAAGTTGGTTCTGTAGTTAGTGCTGATTTGCTACCAGTAAATCGTAGGTTCTCTGAAAGGAGTTCTTGATTAATCAAGTCTTTACTGTTAGGTTGAATTATTTCTCTTGTTACTATGCTGTCAGATTCAGAAGCCAATAAAGTTTTTGCCTAAATTATATAATCAAGATGATCATTCGTGATGCAGAAAATTTTTTTCCTACCCAAAATTTTTTCATTTCAAACTTGCACATGGCACCCACGCATTACAATGCCTGTGATATAAACCTGGTGTAAATGCAGCCAGTCCCTCAGGACACGGCCCTATGCAGCCTTTCGCAGAGCGACAGTCAAGACATTACTGTAGGTATGGTTTTCTTCTTTCACTAAGGAAACAGTTCAGCTTTTAAGATACCACCCTGAAAAAAGGCAGTAAACCAGTTCCCCTTCATTGTTTTTCTTTCTCATTTCTCAAAATGAACTGTAATTTATTTTTGTTGTAGTAAAATATACATAACATAATTTACTGTCATAACCATTTTGAAGTGTACAGTTCAGTGGCATTAAGTACATTCACCACCACCACCACCCATCTCTACAACTTTTTCATCTTTTGAAACTCTCTACCCATTAAACACTTAACTCCCCAGCCCCTGGGACCCACCCTTATACTTCCTGTCTCTATGGCTTTTGACTACTCTAGGTCCCTCATATAAGTGGAATCACACAGTATGTGTTCTTTTGAGACTGGCTCATTTCACTTAGTATAACGTTCTCAAGGTTCATCCATGTTACAGGATGTGTTAGAATTTCTTCACTTTTTAAGGGTCTCTCGATTTCATGGCAGGTATATTCTAATTGTATGTATAAAGATGGGAACATTTGAATAGTTGGGGTTTTGGGCTTCTACCTGGTCCCTTGAATTCAGCAGGCAAAGTGTTTTTGATATCTAAACTCTGTCAGTGGACAACTTTATGAAACAGTATGAATGGAATATTTGCTGCTTTTTCTCTTAATATTGCTTCTCGAATCACCACTTGTTAGAAAGATTGAGTGTTCGTTCATTCAGCAAGCATCTGTCCTGCAAGCTGTGTGTGCAAGGCACCGATGGGTGAGACCAAGATTGTCTTCAGGGGGCTTACAGTCTGGAACCCAAGCCAGGACCTGTGCAAATGCTGAAAGAGAAGCTGGAACATTCTGAGTGCCACCAAAAGAGGAAAAGAGGCTTAGGTCAAGTGAACACAATTAGGAAAACCATCTGATGGGGAAATGGGTGGACTTTATTGAGAAGTTATCCTTCAGCTGAGTCTTGCTTGAGGGCTGTGGGTAGGATTTGATCAGCCTGGGCACTCCAAGGGTGTGTCTGGTTTTGCTTTTCCCACAACTGCTTTGGGGCTCTACTCGTGGGACTTGTAGACTCCCAAGGAGGATTGTTTGAGGTCCAGGAGACACCACACCCTCTGTTCAGCTGATTGTTTGGTCTTGTGGGTCCTTCTCATCGGGAGAAAGGTGTGGAGGTTTGTCCACGGAGCTGGCTCAGGAAGCAGTCCTTGTGCCTCAGGTTCAGCCAAGGGTGACCTGTGGTCCCCCTTCCTCCTTACCACTACACTTGCTTTCTTCATTGCGAGGGTGGTAGGAAAACCACAGCAGTCAAGCTTAGGAATGATGCAAGGCCAAGCTCTCTCAAATCTTTTCTCAGTTTAGTGCTGAACTGCCTTAAGGGGCACTGGCAGATGCCATAGCTGTTCATTTCTAAAGTTTGGATGTGGAAGTTGTTAATATAAAAGCAGATTTTCCCTTCAGTTGGAAAACTGTGAAAGCATGTTCAAAATTCTGCCCTGTGCCAAAATTGTAAGGTAATTTCTGAGATTACCTTGCCTCTCTGGGAATATATAGCCTTTTCCACTAAATTTTTTTTCTCTTGGGTATATATCCAGTGTGGAATAAGTCCTTGTTTCTTAGCTTCTTGTTGCAGGTTTCTTGTCAATAAAATGGGGCTGTTGGCAGTACCTAATTCATAATGTTACATGAGACAATTAATGTCCATTAAATATTTTAACAGGCACAGACAGGATTTACTGACTATACTGATACATTTTCCAACCCCCCCCGCCCCAATCATTTGAGGAGGACTCATGGGATGTGTTTTCTGTGTATCCCTCCTTCTTTACCATGGGCAGATGGTGAATTAGATAGCTAAGATTTTCCCATGTGGTGGTGAGAAGTGCTGGCTAGGATTAGTCATTTGTCATCATCACACTCTCTATGTAAGGCACAATGAGTCTATTTGTACATTCATCCATTAGTTCAGCAGGCATCTATGTGTTACTCTGCTAGATGTTGAGGCTACAAAGATGAGCAGACACAGAAATACTCCCTGTCATTATGGATTTACAGTCTGGTGAGGGGGACAGACAGTAATCCTAGAATAGCTTGAGTGTATATAATGGCATGTGTGGGTAGTGGTTGTTGGGGGGGGTGTTAATCAGGAAGGACAGGAAGGCACCCCCAGGAGGCGATGACTGTTTAGAGCAATGCAAGGAATGAAGAGACCTTCCCTAGGTGAAGGAGGGAGGCAAGGAGCATACCAGCCACGGGGAACAACTTGTGCAAAGGTCCTGTGGTGGAAGAGGGTAGGATGAGTTCAGGGTTCCTGATAAGGATGAGAAAAATCAGAGGCCGGCTGTGCAGAGCCTAGTAGGCCATAAGAGGACATTTTCAGGACTTAGCTCAGGGGGAAGCACTGAAGGGTTTTGATTGGAAGGAAGTGACCTGAAGAGATTTGGCTTTTGAAAGGTCACTGCAGCTGCAACATGAGAATCGGTAGGAGGGAGGAGGTGCAGGCGTAGAGTATTGGAATAGCCTAGGTGATAGGTGATAATAACATGGACCAAGGCAGTGTGATGCAAATGGAGAGAAGTGGATGTGTTTGGGAGCTGTTTGATAGGACTTGGTGATGGATTGGGGGTGTGGGGGCAGAGGGCAGTGTAAGGCTGACTTCTGGCTCCTCGCTTGCATAACTTATGATGGATGGTAGTGCCATTCACTGAGATAAGGAACCTGGAAAAGGACCAGGTGTGGGAGGGAGGGTTGAGAGTTTGGTTTGTGCTGACAAGTTTGTGACTGTCATCGATGAAAGGGGTCCTTCTTTCATTATTACAACTGCTACCTCCTAAAATATAAATACCAGTATTTTTTAAATCCACATAAACAAAAAGTAGTCTAACAGCTTATGTTTCTTTGTGTGTACACTGCACACACATAAAGTTAAAAGTTAGGATTTAGTGCTGTGTTCTCAAACATTGGCATACGTAATTACCTGGAGGCCTAAAGATTCCTGGGTCTCTTACAGTACTGCTGAATCCCCATATCCAGGGCCGGGTAAGACTGGGCACCTGTGCTTTCAGTAAGCTCCCCAGATGGTTCTTATGTGCCCCCAGACTTTGGGAACTGCTGATTTCATAAGAAAGGAGCAGTTTATATATTCTTTCCCTCGGAACCCCAACAATGCAGTGAGGCCCTCCTGATGGGGTTGATACTGGTGGTTGTGTGTAAGCAGAGACCAGAGCCCATGGTGTGTTTAGGGGGCAGCAAAACCCAGTGTGATTCCAGAGCATCCATTTAGGCGAATGTTCCTGCAGGCTTGGGAGTGGATATAGAGTCACCTTCTTAAAGTTCCAGCTTAAATGCCATGGGTGCCATCATTGGCATTTGGAAATGTGGCTCATGTGGGGATAAAGAAGATAGCTGGATGGGTATCAAACTCTAGAAAGACAAGAAGCTAAGATGTCTAATTGAATCTCTCTGATTTAACTTCTCTCTGCAGGAGTCCAGTTGCAGAGCTTAATTTGGCAGTGACCAGTGGGCTCTCTCAAATTTTGGCTCTTTGTTTTTAAAGGGGAAAAAGAGGCGGCCATTTTCCATTGAATAGCAGGGAAGAAAGAGATCCCTTCCTCGTTCCTCTGTTTCTCTCCTGGCCTTCCACACTGGCCTCTCGTTAGTTACTGTCCTAAGTAGTAATGTGATTTGTAACAAAAATTTTAA